CCTTACGCAATTCCCATGCAATCGGTTCGTCTTCATTTTCAAGTTTCTTCGTTTGTTACTCTCTAAAAGTCAATCAATGAATTATCACTGGAAAACAGTGAACAATCGCTGATTCGCATTTATAAGTATACTACTGAAAATTGCAGTGGTATAGTTGACTGTGAATCAGTGACTATTCACTGTTTTCAGTGATAATCCACTGATTGACTTTCAGAGAGTAGACAATAAACATTAAATTGGAACATTTTCTCAGCTTATTTTCATTGTCCCAAAGAACTGATTTCTTTTAGCGAATATCCAAATATATACTGTGGTTCATATCTACAGGGTGTCACGTAATATCCGCCTCACCTCTTATTTACGGATAGAGCGGACTAGACTGAGTCGAAAAGTCCCCTACCATTTTGCAATTTTCGCAATAGTTAACGAGTTACTAATTATTAAAACTCGCTGTCTTGGCTCGCGATGAGACGCGGCCGTCCCACGATTGGCGCGCGGGGAGTTGTTTATTATACGTAGCCCTTGCCGCGCGCCTAGCAACGCCGATCGCGAGACGGCCGGGCTAAGACAGCGATTTTTAGTAATTAATAACTCGTTAACTATTGCGAAAATTGGAAAATGGTACAGAACTTTTCGACTCAGTCTAGTCCGCTTTATCAGTAAAGAAGAGGTGAGGCGTGTATTACGTAACACCTTGTATAAACGCCTATTATTCTTTATATAATACGACCGAAGTTAATGCTGTTAGAAGAACAGTGAGTTGAAACGTTGATATACTTTGGTGCGCAAATTTAAAACAATAAACAGGAGATACAAATACACAAATTACTTCTCGTTAAGACCGCGGTGAGACTAGTGGGAAAAGTGGCAAGCAAGGAAACACGTTTTCTACCTAACCGAATACCACAGTCTCAATTGAAATTACCTCTACAAGCAAATACTTATTAATAAAGTAAAAAAAAATATAATGTTTTGAGGAAATCTAACGGCTCTTTGAGATTTAACAGCGTCATATTTTTAAGCGTGCCTACAAGAAAATTATTTTGAATATAATGAAATCGTGTGAAATCAAACAAAATCATGTAATATGTGAGACAACATTTTAACTAGCGATTCCCTCCCTCCCTGCAATAGCTCGTTTTCTGCGAACGATCATTAAAATACGAAAAGAAATGCAAATAATTTATTCGCACTTTATACGTATCAATGGGATACGGGAAATGACTTGATGCACACGCGGAATCTTCAATAACCTCGGAATTAGTATTTTGCGATATCACTCGGTAAAAATTGTTCGACAGGAAGGCGTTACGATTGTCGAGATCTCTCTTTGCGGCGTTTGCGGCGTCCGTTCCGGGTCCGTTCTTTTTGGGTTCGTCGATTTTTCTCCGCGCTTAACTCTTGTTCCTCTGTCGCTCTGACTTTACGGTGCTTCGCACGTTTCGCGCGCGCGAAATCCCGCCGCGAGCTTTGCGGTGAGCAAACCGAACGGTATCGATTTCAGTTTTACGTAGAGTGGAGCGTAGTGGCGGGACGCCCGGCCTCAATCGCGCTCGGGCCGATTTCAATCGAGTCGATCCGAACCACTGATTAAAACGATCGTAGGCGCGCGCGCGCGCGCGCTCTCCGACTGACCGGAGAGAGTGTATATACCGGTGGATTCGGATGTATCTCGGCGAGCCAACTATCTCGTCAATGAGATAAAGCTCGAATGGATTAAAGGAAGAGCCGTCGTGCGAATGCAGTGCTATTCGGCGAGGCGGTGGGCGAGGGTGTCGTGGGGGCAGGGGGACGGTAGAAGAAGGGAAGATAATAGGGGGAAGGGGGATGGTGCTGGAATCCGACTCGCGAATGCGTTTATCTCGATCCGCCGAGGTCGCGTTACATGTTCGCCGCTGAGAAGCATTTCATCAACGTCATTCGCCCGCAGCCCTCATCTCCCTTCCGCCGTCCCCCCCCCTCCCCCCCCCCGGTCCCTCTCGCCTTTTGTTTCCATTTCTTCTCCCACTTGCTCGTTATCTCGCTTTCACTCTTTCCCTCTGTTTTTCGTCCCCCTCCCTCTCTCTCTCCCCCCTCTCTCCTCTCTCTTTCTCTCTCTCTCTCTCTCTTCGTGTCTTTACTCACACTCCCCCCCCTCTCTTCCTCTTTCTCACACACAAACCTTTGTATTCTCTTCCTTTATGGACCTTCTCTCTGTGCGATTTTGTTTTCCTTCCGCTGATCTCTTTTTGTTTTCACGACGTGCGGAGCGCGAATATTTCCTCGCCTTTGCTCGGTGGGTCTGGTATCGGAGCGGACGTGTTTCGTTTAAACGAGAGACGGTAGGTGGAAACGACGACGCTGTCGACGGTGCTGTCTGTGGCGATTCGTCGTCGTCGCGAAAACGAACGCGGTAACATCCTGCCGTGCGGACAAATGTGCGCGCTCCTAGGGTCCTCGGGTATCATAAATGATACTCATCGGTTTTTATAGCGAGCCATTATAACTCACGACAAGTCATTGAACACGGAGAAACAATCGTCTCTCCCTAGCTCATTCTTTTAGGTCGTTACGGCCGAAGAGAGTGGAGCCAACTCGGCTGATTGCGAACGTGACGACGTGATATTTAAATGACGGTTAAACCAGTTTTAAATACCCTTTAAATATTTTACGTTAACCACGTATACTTCTGCATTTTCGCGATTTTACATCATGTCATTTCCTCGCCTTTTCTCACGCGGGATCTCTTGACACGAAGTTATATAATATTAATTTAAACTCGATAGAATTCGAAATTTATTACAATGGTAGATGAGAGTCTTCTATTATGAGATGGCAGATTTTCAGCACCCAAATTCAATCACAAATCTTTTTTGCAACGATCCCACGATCTAACAATGAATTTTCTACCAAACAGATTTCGCTCCAAGAGCAACAAATTCATGGTGGAAAAGGGAATGCTGGAGTGATTCTGCACTTTTGCACCTTTTGCACTTAAAACTGTCTGTTTCATGGAAACATTTGTGTAATATACAAATTCAATGGCTCACGTGTACAGATCGAAAACAGCTTGCTATTCCGGCTAAATTAAAGAACAATGTGGCATCATTGAAACTAAGTTTGTAAGTCTAATAAAAATTAATAGTGAGCAACACACATACCACATGTACTGTATGTGTGTGTCACTCACTATTATTTCTTATCAGACTTACAAACTTAGTTTCAGTGATGCCATATTGTTCTTTCATTTAGCCGGAATAGCAAGCTGCTTTCGATCTGTACACGTAAGTCATTTAATTTGTATATTACACAAGTGTTTCCGCGAACTGATAGTTTCTAGGTTAGGAAGGTGCAAAAGTGCAGAATCACTCCAGCATCCCCTTAATTTAACCGAAACCCCACTATTCCACATTAGGATCCCTATCTCATAATAGGAGACTTTCCTTTATATAAGATGACGAAGTGAAGAAACACCAACTAAAAATTGTAGATAAAAATACTCGGTGATACCGAGACACCTTGTATACATCCGAAATGTATGCACACGGGGACAGAATTTTTTCGTGAAATTTATCCTGAAAACTATGCGATCGTGGGACAACGTGGCATTTCGAAGTTTTTTTTTTAATCTTACCATACATTCTCTACTAATAATTGTAAACTTATAAAATTCTTCGAAGTGCCAAGTTGTTCCACGATTACATAATTTTAAGAGAAAATTCTCATCGTGTACGCGCGTTTCATGCGTTCCTTGAGCCCGCGTGCGATACGATCGCGCACATGGGCGCAATTTTTTCGGAAGTCGACGAAAGAAATTTACCTGTGCCGGTGAATGCGCAACCGTTTTTTTCCGCGATCATTGCGGAAGATAAGCCGAGCTCACACGAGTTCCGCTAGTCTATCGGGAGGATCGCATTCAGCGCGGGCATAAGATGAGAGTCAGGTTGCCGCATTTAACGCTAAATGGGCGATGAGAATGTCGACTGATGAAGCATTTGCGTGCGGCGTTTTTTCGCACGGTTAAGGGGTTTTGGTACGATCAAATCTGAAAGAATTGTTCAACAGCGCATCGAGCCTATTTTTTTTCACCTACATACACGTTTTTCTTGTTGAAGAAAGCGAAAGCCAAGGTGTAATGCCGATTTTCAAGCTCGCATTGAGCGCACATTTTGATTCACAGCAATTTAAAAGGAAACAAGGGAATATTCCTTGAATTTTAAACTGCAGTATAAATAAATCGAGACGTTTTCTATAAATACACGTGTACAGTACTGGCCAAAAGTATATCGCCTTTCGATTTTTTGAGCACAACTAGTTTTAAAGTGCGCGAATGGAAAATTCGAGAATCACGGTGTACTTTGTCAAATTTTATTACCCTTCGTGTACAAGGTGCATCCCTTTGCCTGCCTGTTATCGAGTAAAATTTTGAGCACATTCGACGTACTTTGACGAAAGTTATCAGAAAACCTAAAAACGAACTAATTTTGACTGGTACTGTATGTATGTTATGTATATATATAATTTTTCTTTTACTTTTTTATTCAGATTACAATTCAATAGAGTTTATCGGCGACAGCTACATCCGTAATTGCGTTTATAGGAATTTCCTCTTTTTTTAATCTAAATTATAATTAAATGGAATTTGTCGGCGACAGCTGCTTCCTTTTTTTAACCACATTATAATTGAAAAGAGTTTATTGACGACAGCTACATATACAGTTGCGTTTGTAGAAACTTTTTCTTTTCTTTTCCCCTAAACATGTCATAGACATTATTGTTGTCTGCCGAATCACTTTGTATAATACAAGACTGCGTATTAAAGCGATTCCGTTTCCGCCGTTACACCGAGAACCTGTCCACGCGCGCGTATCGCGAGGCGCGTAATACAATCGCGATAATTCGCCGTGTAGTACAATTATTGTGGAATTAACCGCGTCTCAAGGGCGCGGCTTTGCCGACTTAACGTTATGCGGCGGCGCGATTATTACGACATTAATTTCATTTTATGCTTCCCGTTGCAGGTCCAAAGGCGCGGAATAATTCGGAACAACGGCCGCGCTTCGCCCCGCCTCGCCTCGTCTTTTGCAGAAAACAATCCTCCGTTATTAGACGACTGCAATAAGCCGTAATCGCCGGGCCGAAAGTAACGTGAGTACCCAAGCACCGCCACGTCGTCCTTCCCTCTCGGCCGTGCTCGCGGATTCCGCGCGCCGATCTTTCGACGATCGTTTTCGAAACGTGTTTTCGTTCCGTGCCACTTCCACGGTGGAGGGAGATAGGAAATTTCTCACATGGAGTTCTCCTTTTCTGTTATCTTTTCCCCTTTACCTGGCGCGTTCGATGTTAGTTTTCCGCATTGACAGTGGAGTGTGGCGCGTTTCGAGAGAGAGAGAGAACCGAAATAGAATTATCCGGACTGGCTGCTCACCCAAGTGGCACGCGGGCCCAGACAGCGTCTTCTAAACTGTCGGTCTGATTTCTGCCGTCGTGATAGCCGACATTAAGAGTTTGATGGGCGGCTTTACTTATATTGCTATGCGCGCGAAGCTCGTAATTATGATTTATACTCTTTCTCCGCTATATCCACTCTCCAAACATCCTGCAGTTTATACATAATAGCGCGAGTTGTAATATACCGTTGCGGCGAGATGGTACTCGAGACATTATTTCTGTGTCTATCATCTATCACGGTACGCTGCACACGGACCAATTAATCTTAATTGTACATTCGCATTGTGGGGGAACGCGTTTGAGAAAGAACAATTATTTGTTCTCCTTTTCGCGGAGTGCCATTACCTTTTCTCTCTCTCTCTCTCTCTCTCTCTCTCTGTCTTTTATTTCACGTAACGCAAACGCGATCCCGCGTTTTAAGGCCGCCGGATAAATGCACGTCCGAAAATTGCGGCGACCGAGACGACGTCTGTTTCGACATCGCGATGCGCCAACCAAAGTTAAATTTTTCAAGCCACTTGTCCGAACGCGATTTGCCTCTCGATCGGCACAATTTTTGCAATACACTTCTGAATACTCGCCATCGCTTACGCGCGAACTGGCCGAGCTTTTCATCGAAACAGAATAGTAGTCGACGTGAAAGGGCAAAAGAGACGGGAAGAGGAAAAAACGAAAGGATAAATGGAGAGGCGGCGTGTATGTTATCGAACGAATACGTCGATGTGTCGGGGCGGAATCGACATTCCAACTACCGCGCGTGAATTTTTATATACGCCAGACGGAAATTCGGGATAGTCAATCTTACCGGGGGTTCCGGGAGAAATAAAAATCCGAATGACAGGCGCGCTTTGCGAAATGAGACTCGCGCCGTTCTGAGAAAGTCGAGGAAAAAATCGGGTAAAGCCACGTTATCGCGGCCGCTGGTGCCCGACGAGAGGGCACAAGATTAAAGAGGAGGCATTCATTACCGAGAAATTGCGCCGGAAGTTCTAAACCATCGGGTATCCGAACTGCCGCTAATGGCATGTGTTTCTAATCACTAGGGGTGCGCCGACAACAGAAATTTTCGGGAGAGGAGACCCGGCGTCGCGGGGTCGGAATTGAATTCGGCCCGGTATTATTTCCGATTATCCTCAGTTTTTCAGACAGTACGCGATACCTCTCGACCGATACCCGCGGGTGCAACCGATCGCTCAAACCTCAACTCGTATTTCCTGATTATTTTTCCCTCGTCTTTTTCCTCAACCTCGATATGAATTTTCATCCAGCGTCGAGGCGGATCGCCCCGGCGTGACCGGTTATTATCGGGCCCTCGGCCGAGCCGAATAGAGCCCGAAAAAATAGCCGGTTCCTGACCCGCGTTCGCGAAGGGACAAAAATTCGAAGCCGCATTTTCAGACCACGGCGAGAGCTCGTCGTACACGCTAGTAATTGTCTTCGAGGCTTTAAGACACCGTCGAAAAAAATTAGGTAATTAAGATGGCCGCCCGCGGCACGCACCCCGTCCCGTCGCGCTCGTTGCGCTCTCGCCTCCTTTGGTCGAGACGAGGTTTTTACCATGCTGGATGCCGCGACCGCTATGATATTGCATGCCGGCGGAATTTTGATGCCGTACGTGTGCCGTATATGGGTATGGATGTCCGCTAGTGCCTAATTTCACGACTCCTTAACCCTCGAACGCGAAATCCCTCGAACGCTACGGCGTCGAAAGAAACGTTGCCGTAGCGAATAGCGAAACGTAAAAAAAGAAGAGATAAAATCATCTTTTTTTTTTAAAGCGGAGCCATATAGATCCCATTGTACCGAAAACGGAAAATTTATGGTGCGCGCTGAGGACCGGCCCTGTTTGGTAGCGGAGGAGCATTCAGCTCAAGACTCTTTTGAACAAACAAACCTTTCTTCGGGTCAGCTTCAAACGAGAAAATCCATTTTTCAAACGGAAACTGTATCGACTGCCGAACGCTTATGTTGCGCTCCTGTAGCGCAGATTTTGTCAAAAATATCGTTCGCTCGGGACGCAACGTAAAGAAGCACTGGCCTCCTTTCTTTCTTATTAATCATTCCATCAGTCTTGCGTGTTTTAATTAAACACCCCGCGTCTAATATTCTTACGTCGCCACGACGGACCGTCGTTCCAAAGTTGTTAATCCTCAAACAACGATTTGAATACGGATATTCAAATAATGTATAATTACGCAACAAAGCCGTGTATCGCGAAGTTAAGCCTGGGACATTTAACTAGATCTCACTTTAATAGAACTTTTAACTTGAGAATTAATTACAGCGATATTTAATGGTGAATTTGAAAGAGCAGTGATATAAAGAATATAGCGTTCCGTCACACAAAGCTTTATTAAGCAAAAAAAAAGAAGAAAAGGAACAATTCTTAATTGGATAAAGAATCCAGGGGAACTTAAAAGAATGGACGTAATTTTAAAATATTCTCTATAAACTTGGCTCCCGCTTTCTTATATTTCTTTATCTGACATCGCGAGATGACAGGCTGCAGAAACTTATCTTTGTTATCGCAATGAAATAAGAAACGCTGGTTTCTCCGTCATTACAGCTGCGATTAAGACAAGAAAATTACTCGATTCAAGCACTCGCGCGACCAAGAGGTGTCGTTAAGGTTCTGAAAAAAAAAAGAATCTCGCGCCACTCCGTCGCGCGGTCGAAAGGAACTTTTAGCCTTCGAGAGATACTGGACGGAGGAACGTAAGAGAAGCGAAGCTGAGAAACACACATCCGCCGCGCATCCCCCAAATTACCGTCACGTTCCCGGGCGAGGGAATAGTGATTTCGGACTGGAGAATCTCGAGATTAAAAACCCCGGGCGTTTCGCCGGGAGATGCCCGTGGTCGAGTATCGAGCGAGAAACGTCGGGGGGAAGGAAGCGGCGTATCGCCGACGGCGAGGAGATCGAGAAGGAGCGTGTCCCGTACTACCGCGATAACTGGCGTGATTCCAACGGACAAAGCGAGGAGGGTGGCAAGAAGGGCGAGATGGAGGCGCAGACACGACACCCGAAAACGGGTCCAGCCGTTCCCGAAATAGGCGCCTGGAATGCCGCTCCTCCGCAACGGCTATTCCCTCTATCAGGACTTCGCGTCCGTGTCACCCGTCTGTCTCCCTCCCTCCCTTCTTCCTTCACCCTGCGCCGCCAAGTCCGTCTCGATCCCTGGCCGCGCGCATGCCATTATCCTCGGCTATCATTAGGCCTCAACCGTCAAATTTCGATAACGTTACCGATTTGTAGGCTCTAATAAAGAAATGACGCCTGTGCCTTATGCTAATGGATCGCCCGATCGCTACTTGGACCTCGGCTACTCCGTAGCGATAAGCAACCGGACACGGATACGCGTCGACATTATAAAGGAATTGGAAATGCAGCTAACGATTCCTCGCGCATTCCTGTCTCACTAAATATGGATGCACAGGGTGTTTTTGTAATACCCGCCTCGCCTCTTATTTGCGGACGGAGCGGGTCGAAATTGCGGAGACCGAGTCGAAAAGTCCTCTATCATTTTGCAACTTTCGCAATAGTTAACGAGTTATTAATTATTCAAAATCGCTGTCTCAGCCCGGCCTACCGCCCGATTCAAGTGCGTGGTGCGACGCGGCTGTACCGCGATCGTTGCTAGGCGCGCGGGGAGCCGTTGCTGTGTGTCATATCGTGGGACGGCCGCATCTCGCCGTGCGTTTGAATCTGGCGGGACTGAGCCAGCGATTTTTAATAATTAGCGACTCGCTAACTATTGCGAAAATTGCCAAACGGTACAGGACTCTTCAACTCAGTCCAATCCGCTCTATCTGTAAATAAGAGGCGAGGCGGGTGTTACGTAACACCCTGTATATCGCAATAAGGACAGCTTCGATTCGATTGCGACCGCTCGAACATTTTTTCCCACGAATACTTTCTCGAGTCTAATGACAATGTGAAATTACTGTCGATGTTAATATTTTGTGTTTCGAGCGCGCGTTTAATAAGCTCGCGTTTGACTACGAATTCGCGCGGAAGTCGAAAGCTGGAATATCAACCCGTCCCCCTTTTACAAGGAGAATGTCTGGCGACGTTGCTGTACTTGAAATTAAAAGGTGTTTCAGCGTCAGCCCTCTGTGTCGTTTCGCGTGATCATTTTCGCGCGCATCACTTTGTTCTCTGAGAACGAGCAAATATCATACGGCGGTACGACTACACTTTTCCACCCACGCCTCTCTACGACTACGAAGCTGAAGAGGCCATTCGTGCGATCTCGGAAGACATCATACCGAGAAAGAGAGAGCGAGAGAGAGAGAGAGAACGGCGGGCAGTGGCAAAGGGGGCGAAGCAGAGGAGACGGAGGCCACCGAGAAGGATACCGATGGCATTTAGTAGCTTCGCTCGGAACGTTTTAGATAATGACTGGGTGGATTACTGGATCTAGACGAGAAAGGACGGCCTTCTTTCCCTCTCGTTCGATTCCGCCGCCGCCGCCGTTACTCGAGAGAATCAAAACGAGGAGTGGAAACGGGATGCCAGAGGATCGGAGAGCGCGAGAAAGAGCCAGGGACGGTGAAGGATCGACCGAGGTGCAGGAAGAAACGAAGATGAAGATGGTCCCGGCTCCGCGTCCTGGCGATAGCGAGCTTTCATTCCGAGGCATTATTCACATTCGTTGCCGGGCACGCGGACGTGGCGGAAAACTCGCCTGAGCGAG